TACTTTGTTAATCTAGTGACTTTAAGCTGCCTTATTTTGAAACGCCTCTATGTCCACAAAACGTGGATATTGAACTACATAGCCAATGTCCACGATCCCGTTGGTAATGTCCACGATTTTTTTATTGTATTCTTCGCTATGTCACCGACGAGATATTATTAAAGACCGATATCCTTAAGGGAGTTCGCGTTCTTGTTAATATTGAAGTGATTAAGAGTAAAAAAACTGATAATATTGTACTAATTTTATGATTTATTAGTTTTAGTAGTATTTAGTAGACGTGTTTATCGGTGTACGTGCATTTAAAACTCAATAATACTCGATTTTTCTTTAAAATTGTGATTTCAGTGTTATCGTCAAAGTTCGATTATCAACAGAGATAATAACTGCAGAGAAAAAAATTGCAATTTTTCGGCAATATATAGGATATTAAATATTATAGCTTTACAAATATGCATATTTATTTATAGAGCATTTATGTAATAAAATATCATGAATTTAATAATGTATTAGTCAAATATTTATGTTAATAATAGCAAATTTATATCAATTGTCGATAATATCAGCGTTCTTCGATTACCTTCGGGCCCTTTTTATACCGCCGAAAATTTGCTTAGGGTTGACGGTCTTTAATAGTCGGTGGCTATGTCGACGATTTTCGGTCCGTTAGATAGATAAAGACGAACAATCAATCTATCGGGGCTTGTTGAACAAACGATTGTTCGTCTTTGTTTGTTTAACTGACCGAAAATCGTGGATATAACAAAGAATACAATAAAAAAATCGTCGACATTATACAGACGGGATCGTGAACATTGGCTACGTAGTTCAATGTCCACGTTTTATGGACATAGAGGCGTTTCAAAATAAGGTTGCAGCTAAATCTCAGACAAATTTGACGAAATCCTTATGGCCAGTCTCTAATTAAAGGGTCTCTATTACGGTTCACTTGATGCTACAAATGTTTCGAAGCATTTTTTGATTGGTCAATCTCGGAACGCATCCTGGGGTGCGTTCCAAAATTCACTCCGAGTTTAACTCTACGCCGTTCCAAAACGCGAGGTAACTGACCATATGGGCGGAGCCTATTCGTTCCAAAAGTATAAGTAAATCTACCTCGGAGTCAACTCTATGAACCCTGCTTCCGAGGTGGGTTGAAAGAGTAAGTGCGGCAAACGAAATTTGAATATTGAGATGATGCAACACACGAAGCGAGACGCACACGTCCGTCCCGTTCGAGCGGTCTCTAAAGTAACGACTTCATTTCCCTAAAATGGCTCTAAAATTAATCAAAGATGTGCATATGTTAATAACCAATGATAATGGAACACCGTTACAAGAAAATAATTCATTGTGGGTGATGGACACGAGAGGTAAGTAGAAAATGTGATTCGAAAGCTTGTATCAAGGTTAGATGTATGCATGTACATACATATATAGTTTATCTGAGTTTATCTCTTTCTAAATAAAATATTAAATATAATATTATATGTATATATAATATTACCTTACCTTTTCACGTTCCAAATTTGTCAACTCGAGTAACGTACTCTGACTTACTCTTTCCCCCACTACTCCGGGTTCTTTAGAGTTACTCGGAGTGAATTTTGGAACGCACCCCTGAGTGAACACATATCCATATATGGCACTGTCTTTAAACATGGAGGCGAAAAATCGACAATTTTTAGAAGCCTGTGATCGGTCCGCGTTGAATAGGAAAGAGGCAAATAGTAAAACGAATAAAACACAATTTTAAAAAGATATAAATATATTCACATCTTATCCATTTATCTTTATCTAATTGTTTTCCTCTACTTTGATAATTCCATGTTTTTTCACTTATGTATTGGATTGGTCAGAAGTTCGTGCCAGTTTTTTAGCTCAAAATTATACATAGAATATATTTGTTGTTATTATACCATTCGATAGAGCAAAGTTTTAGCTTTAAAAATTTGTTTTTTAAACTGCAGTACAATGACTTCGCAAACGAAGTTATGAGCAATCAAAGTCAAAATGCTCCTTTTATTTAATTCACGATAACTCGGTAACAAAAAATCTTAGGAACATTTTTAAAAAACGATTTTATAGGGAAAACTTTAAGCTTTCACTTGGATGGAAAGCCGAAAATTTTCGCAAATTTTTTTTGAGCAAATGACAGACCCAAAGTGAGAAGAAAATTTTCCATCGTTTTCAGTTCATAGTATGTAAAAATTACCAAACTCACAAAAATTCAAAAAACATAGTAACCTTTCGAAAGTAGAGATTTCAAGTTTCAAAATTGTTTTTTTTTTTAAATTTAAATTTCGTTTATTTTTTACGAAGATATTGTAAATACAATTTTGAGCTTAAAAAACCGGTACAAACTTTCTGACCAACCCAGTATATATATGTGTATGTGTGTGTATGTGTATATATCAAATAGGTTATTTGATAAAACTATATCACTAACATGATATGCAATGCCGTACAGTACAGAATTAATTTAAGTTATTATTATCTATTGTATGAACTATAATAGGATAGTCACGTTTTTTCGGTTTTTCATGTTTTTTCAAAGGTCTCTCAGAATTTTCAGTATCACTAGTAAAATTTACGAATCTTCTACAGTCTTTCTGTTTATTTGCAGAATCTACTGCTGGCTTTTCTATCACTTCTATTGAATTTCCTTGCTTTGCAAATTCAGATTTGAGAATATTCTTTGGCTCATAAGGTGTAAGTGAATCACCACAAGTCTTTTCAAAATTCGTGTTATCAGGAAATGTGCAATTCTTTATAGATTCAAGAAGTATTTTATTATCACATTTATCTTGCATTTCCAGTTGGTCTTTTATAGCCTTGTGTGTAGCCTAGAGAGAGAGAGAGAGAGAGAGAGAGAATGTATAAGATTTTATATAAAAAAATCTTAAACAGCAAGATACGATTTCTTTTTTTGTAGAAACTTACTTCCAAAAACTTTGCTTTAGATTGCCAGTAACGAAGCTGTCTTGAGATGTTGTTGTTCACTTCGTCTTGCACTAGCATCTGCATAGTTTGTTTCTCAATTTTTTCATTTAGCTCCTTAAGCTCTTTTTTTTTAACGGCTAACAATGATTGAGCATAACTGAAAATTAAATTTGTCTTTCTATTACATTAATACAATTAAACCATACATTAATTCAAATTAGCTCAAACAGAAACGTGTTCTTAACTTACTTAAAGTTATCATTTGTAGATTGTGTTTCTTCCATTTCATCATTTTTTCTCATTTCAGCCTTCAACTTATTCTCAAGATCAAAGATTTTACTCTTATACTTAACCAAAAGATCTGCATTCTCTTGCAATGTATCAATTATATCAGTTTCCCATTTCCTGGAAATTGCGATTTTCTCTGCCTTCAGCAACTTGATTTCACATGTTTTTGAATCCAGTGCTTGCTTTGCTTCATTATATTTAGTAGAAAGCGCTTTCATTTTACCCAACAACATTTGCCGGCGATCTTCGACGTCGGCAAATAAAGAATTTCCTAAAACAGAGTATGAATGTTGAAAAATTTATATATAATTAAATATATACATTTCAATTATCATTACCTTTGCATGTATCACTAGCAGGAGTTATATTTGATGATTCCAATTCTTCAAGTTTTGTGGCTAATTCTTTAGCAGATTCCCGTGCGTTTTCCAATTCTTTAATTTTTTCCGCTAGATCCTTTGTTATTTTCTATTAAAATGTTTCTAATTAGCCTGACGTATTACAACCAATAAACATATATCATGACTTATTTTACTTGTAAATCAAGTCGAAGCTCCTCACATTGAACCTCTCTATGTGCAAGTTTATCCATCAATGCCTTTTCATTTTTTTCTTTTTGAAGAAACTTTTCTTTTTCATTTTGGAGCAGCATATGTATTTCCTTAAGTTCTTCTTTATACACTGTTAAAGTATCTGCCATTGCATAAGGTTGATTATTTACAAGATCTTTATATTTCTTCAACTCTTTCTGTAATTCTTTAATTTCTAATTCACTTTTTACTTGGTTTGTTTCTAGATTTGCAATATGATTTTCATATTCTTTTTGCTTAGCTTTATACCTATGAATGAATAAGATATATGAAGTATCTCTTTATAAATGTATAATATATATAATAAACAATAAGTCTCATTATTAGGGCTAACATAACTAATACATAAAAAAATCTTGATTGAAAAATAAAAAAAATATGTATCAAACATTAAAAATTTGTCTTTTCAATTAATCATCAGGAGATTGTGATATATCTAAGAGATATATACAAATATATGTTTATAAATATCTTTAAGTAATGACACCATTTACCTATTGGATAAACATCAGGAGACATGGTAATGTCTCCATGCTAAGCCAATTAGCTGTTACACGAGTCATTAAGATTATAACATCATATGTGGTTAGACAGACAGTTGGTCAATTATATTACAATATCAAGCAGAAAAATATAAATTTTGATGAATTGTTATGATTATTTCAATAAAACATAATATTTTTCATGCATTCATATCGTTTCTTTTTTTGTTGCAAAAGATAACTCTGTCAATACGGATTAAAAATATTTGTATTTCTCAGATATATCAATCTCCAGCATTAAATTAAGAACCACAACCTGTCGAGGGTTAATACATCAAATGCAGTGAACAAAAAGACTTGACGTAAAACATATTTTAAGTGTCAAAAGTAAAAACTCCAGAAGTAACTGCTTGTACTCATTTTATCTGTATAATTAATTTTTACAAAAAAAAAATTTATGATCCTTACTTTTCTTCTTTCTCGGAAGATGATACGATTGCTTGCCGTACGTATTCTTTGAAATTATTTTCCAAAGTCTCTCCAGAATCCTGAAGATCTCTTACAATCGCGTCGGAAGTTTCCAATTTGAGTCGCAGAACATGCAACTCCTGTCGATAATTCTCATTTTCTTGCTTCATCTTTTTATAATCATCCTGACTGATCACGCTCTCTTCTAGATGTTCCTCGATGCTATTCACACTCTCACCGTACAATTCCGACATCTCGAACTTTTTGTTAAATTTCTTTTTCTTCTTTACTTTGGCACTTGGTTTCTTCTGGATCAGTGTACAACGTGGTATAACAATATGACTATTTAAATTTAGATAAGGTTAGTTTAAATATTTTGAATTTCGGTTAGATCCATTGGATCATAGATATATAGAAAGATAGATTCGGTAATGCATGTTGTATAAATGACCAGAAGAGAGAAAGATGATTGGTAAAAAAGAGAAAAAATTAAGCTGGAAAAGAAAAGTGAACAAATGATTGGTTACGCCATTTTGACACGAAACATGTGATTGGTTGTTACGTCGATAATTACGCTGGCGCATACTACGTCCGATATTAATCGTAACAATGGCTGCGTTCAGCAGAGAAAGCAGCTTTGCAACTGTTGTAAAATTCTTCAATA